AGTTCTATTATGCGCTTATTTTAGAAAGCACTACGGTACCCCTTCATGGTCTTCATGGAGTTTTTGAGTGAGAGTGAGGTGGGGAGCCGAAGGAATGAGAAATTATGAATTGCAGAAAGCAGTTTGCAATGCTAGAAGCCGTAGATAGGGGGAAGAGGAGCAAGGACACACAACTGGGTCAATTCGGTCAAATGGCTGGCCACGAGTAATTATGCAAGGGGAGTTGGGATGGGATAGATAAGAGATAATTTTATATGAAAGGGGGTGTGCGATAGACTTACCTCCACATGGTGCACACTGGGCAACGTATACTCATACGCAAAAAAGTTTATTAACCGACAGTTGACTTCTGACTTCAAACTACCACGACCCCCTGGTTGTCGTATTCGACCTCTTCCACAGTACTCACCTTAAATTTTTCTCTACCATTGTGTCTGTCTGCCTCTTTTACATCTGTGAATCGCTCTTCTGTTCCTCACCCCTCGACTTTCTGCTACTTTGATGAACCTTCCCTCTGTGAAGCCCGAAGTCAGCTAAATGGCTAATGGTATCTATCAAAACGCCTGCCATTTGAAATAAATAAATTTTATGTCAAAGAGTACCCCAGATAATGCCAAATTACTTTGGGTTACGATATCGAACTTTGGGGGCAAGGGTAATTAAAGATCTCGTAAGGAAATGGTTTCTTATCTGACGAACCCCAAAGGTAGATTTAGTATGCAGTTAGGAAATCATTCATTGTTGAGAAAGAATTTATCTGTTACTTCAAACTAGAAATGGGTTGTTCCGCAGTAATTGCATTTGAGTTGTTCTGACTCTGGAAGAGGAAAAAACTAATGTAGACGGAGGAGTGTTTAAAGTGCAAAAAAATTAATTTGATGATGCCTACTTAAATGTACTGTTTCTTGGTGCTCTTTTGCGGTATTTTTGATTTTCTCGCAAGTTTTCCCACAAGCCTTGGAATTCCGTGATTCGACTTGCTTCTCTTCAGGAACTTGTGTAGCAGGTGCCTCATTTGAACCATCAGAAAGAGACGAGGACGCATGAAGTGTGCTTCCTGGTTGTGGACAAAAATATTGACTTAGAGGCAGTTGCTAAGGTAATTTTATTGATCCCCAAACTTGGTAGAAACAAATAATATCCACTGCTTTTCTTTATTTTTATTTCCTGAGGCCAATAGGAAGGAGGGGTGGTTGGAATCATGTGTATTGGAGATATGTGTGTAAGGATGAAGAGGAAATGAAGAGAAGAAGGAGGTATCCATGCTGAATGCAGAAGATTCGAATTGTAAATTGCCATCAAAATCAGTTACAATAAAGAGAACAGCAGAAATCGCGTTATTTCTTCATTGATGGAAATGATTGCTTATATCAGGATTACTGACCCGTAAACGCGTCGTATGAAATGAGGTTGATCTGGCCAGTGAGCAAACCGCAAAAAATTTCACTCTACGAAAATAATGACTCTTTAAGATGTGTCCGGAGTACAAGTGACATCTTTAGTGAGAACTCAAGCATAAATCATAGGCATAAATCCTCAAAAGAAATGGAGGCTGATTTTCAGCAAGAGAAGGTGAAACAGCAAGCAGAATTCTGTGTATTCACACATTTCTTTCCATTACTCCATTTTTCTGACACGCTCGCGAAAATTCAATTTGTTTTACCGACTTAATCAGCTCACATCTTGCCCATATACCTGCGCCTGTTCCTCATGGCCTTTTTTCCTTGTTAATCAGATGGCGTGAATATCCTCTTAGCAACAAAAACTTACTAAAGAAAGATTCGGGGCCAAGGATAAGAATGTCGTTCTCTGCACTGGTAGGAATGATATGATTGTTTAGCGGTGTTATCGCTTGAGCTGTAACTTCTGGTATAGCTACAAAAGAAACAACTTTTATGAAAGTAAAGCATTACTGGTAAAATAGGATGTTAAATCAGAACTAACCATCATCTATTGGTTTGGAAGTGAACAAGGGGCAAGTTCTGTTCTGATCGGGCGACACTTTATCGTCTGGAGATCTGATTTTGCCTTTTTACAGAAGAGCAAATATCGAGTTAAATAGGACTCATCTCGTTTTGAGTAATCCGCTTTTGGGAGCTCACCTCTCGATAACCTACCAACTCGTCTGCCTCAAGAGCCTAAAAAAGAAGCGATTCTGTGGAAAGTTCTGTCGCACATTGAAAGCAGCTCAATGTGTCAACACGTTGACAGAATGCAGACACAGACATGTTATAAATTGAACATCTAGAGCAAAGCTCGAATAAATCATCATTTAGTGATGCAAGTAAACTTGGTTATAATAAAGAAAACAAATAAGTAAATGTTATTCTTACGGCCACTTGATCGGCGTTTTTTCATAAAACCTGCTATTCGACATAACTAAGCGAATCACTTGACGGTGATACAGAGCTTGTCGAGATATTCGGCTGAATAATTCTCTCTTACGACTTCCAAACAGCGATACAGAAGGTGACTGATAACAACGTGCTAATGGTCTAATGAATACCTGAGAAGGTGGATCCTAGGAGCACGTTCTTTCACAGCCACAGCATGTGCAAAGCGATGACGTCGCCCTGCTAGCAGGCAGGCCCTCACTCCCCCCTCACTGAACTTTCACTTGGATCGAAATTCAGCTCATCAGAAAGATCACTCATTCCTCTCCATTCTATTCCAAAGCGAAGATCAGTGATACTAAGAAGAGCACAGCACAACCCATCAGTGCATTTGTCTGGTTGGAATCCACCTATTAGAGTCAGAACAACTGATGGACAATGAAAACTGCAGCATGGACAGTGCCTCTACCAGAGGGGAGGCACATTAGAAAAAGCGATAATTGGTGCGTGTCTAAAAATACGTGAAATAGGATATCGGTGTCAGAGGTAAGACAAAAATGGCAATCAAGAATGGAAGCCATCAAGTAATAGCTCTCGTAAAGTAAATAGTCTTTGAAGCGTCTCACCAGGAGAGTAGTCGAAAAGAAGTGCAGATGGTACTCATTGCAGGAGGAGCGATTTCCTACCCAAATTGGGCCAAAATACACCTTATCACAGTGAGCCATAAATAAATGTATTGGTGAGGAGAAATAGAAATTCCTAAATTTTGTTAGCAGATTCAACATCTTTCGTTGGCTCATGTGTGAAGAAATAGGCCCTACCGAGATCATCACACTGTCAATCCCTAATTGCTGTATGAGAAGAGTGAAGAGAGGTGCAATAACTTTAAATTTATTTATTTATTTCAAATGGCAGACGTTTTGATAGTTATCATTAGCCATTTAGCTGACTTCAGGCTTCACAGAGAGGAGGATGAACATCAAAGTGACAAAAAGTCGAGAAGGGAGGGGGGAGGGGGGACAGAATAATGATTCACAGGTGTGACAGAGACAGACAAAAGAGCAGAGAAAAGGTAAGATGAGTACTTCGAAATGGGTTGAATATGGCATACAGTGGGGGTAGTTTGAAGTGAGAAGTCAACTGCCGGTTAATAGACTTTTTTGCCGTATGAGTATACGTTGCCCAGGGTGCACCACGTGGAGGTAAGTCTATCGCACACCCCGCAATAACTTTAAATAAACCCAGGAAATTCAGATGAATGATCAATTGTTTCACCCGCACATTCGTGAAAGATCCTCTGGCGGTGAACAAGCTCTGAGTCATGGAGGTATGCCCTTTCACACTTCTAGCATTCGAAGCGCTTGAGAGAGAGAGAGAGAGAGAGAGAGAGACTGAACCACTAGTAAAGAGAAGAGGGGTTTGTGAAGGGATAAATAGGAGAGGTTCACTTGCTCAATTGAGCTTTACTGTAGTACTTATTGTAGTCACTAATTAGCTTGAAGATTTTCCCCAAAGACATGCATTTGTATGCTCACAAAAAAAGTCAGGAATGGAAGGTCCAAGACTTAAGGTAGAGTGGAAGGGGCTCAATAGGCCTTTGAATGAACAGACATTGACGTAACTGCATCTATAAGCGCACTATTTAAACTGCACTTGACAACAGCCACAGATAATTGGTTGCAGGCTAATTCGTTTCTAAGTCCTTCTCTATGAGACGCTTCTATTCAGATAAATGAGAATAAACAGCTCATTCAGTGGTTCTCGTACTTATTCATTGAAGTGGGATGACGTATGGAAATTACCTTCAAGAAGAAAATGTGGACACCTGCTTCCACCTCCACCTCGCATTGTCTTCTTTTGGTTTGGCATTCTGCTCCACAGCCCCTTTGTAGGGCTCATTCAATGATAATTTACTTTCCGATCTGCGAACAATTTCATTTGCTTTAAACTCGCCTGACTTGAACATACTCTTACTAAGGTCATTTCACAGGCGGAGGCAAAACGGTCTTCTCTTGCCTCAAAAAAACGAAATTAAAAGTGCGATTGTTGAGACTAAGAATTGAAGTTTATCTCCATCTGATTAACTAAAGATTTAATTTTCAGAACAATTTCAATAATTATATTTACGAATAATACCAACATTTGAGTTTCTAATACCTTGGCTAGCGAATATTTTTTTAATTTATAATTTTAATTTTTGAAATCATCTCCAAATCATTATCAGCGAACAGAAGAGCCATTTGGAACAATCAATAACTTCTGAAAAAAAGATAAATGTTGTAGAGGGCTCTCTTGTTGCAAAGTCGAGTTAATTTAAGAAACCGCTTTAATTATTTTGCATTTCAATTTGTCACTAATATTATAATACCAATGAATAATGCTTTATTGGTTAAATGCACAGCATATTGACTTAAATGCATTGGAAACCAGTTTTATAGAATTTATTTGATCGATAAATTTAACTAATCTATGCTTAACTTAGATTGAAACAATAAGTGAATGCCTTTCTTTGAAGGCAAAGTGTGCTTTGTATATTCACTTTTTTCACCATTTTCTACCAAAAGAACATTCCATCCCATTTTAAAATCAATTCCGAGCTATGTTTCAGGTAAAAACTATTATTTGAATTATATCAAGGTCAAAAGGCAATGTACTTTCAGAGTAAACCTATTTCTTTAGATTGCCATTTAGTACCAGATATCGCGCATTTCTCAAAGGAGCTCTTCTTTGTGGTCTCAGTGGAATTCCAGTTCCTAATGGGGCATTATCATTCACTAAATCTTCGTGTTTCATGTCATCTTGATTGTCTATTATCGGTGGTTTGGGTATGACAGCGTTACTTTTGCCCATTATAATATCCAGAACGCGTGACCAATCATCTTTATTAAGTGACTCTACACGCGCTTGAAGCACCGAAAATTCGTCTTTTCCAAGCAGTTCCTGAACACCCAGACAGTAGTGGCAGGGCTTTGGCTTCTCTTTCGTCTGCTTTTGGTCTGCTGTGGCAACAGAAGCGTCAGCAGCAATGTACATATCCGAACAACTCGTCGCCCGTTCAACCAATTTAGTCCGTTTCGACTCTTCTTTTTCGGGCTTTTTACTGACAGCGTCAGTAATTCTCCTATCAGGGCCTGTTTTTTCTATATAAAAATAACAAAATATTGAATTAACTCACTTTTTAATCTAAAATATCATTAACACGCTGCCATTCAATAACGCGACTAGTTAATTCTTGAATTGCAAACTTAATTGTAGAGGGCAGAACTATTTAAAATTATTTCTTATCTTTGAATGAAAGAAAATTTTAATTATTTAAATCTTTTGATGGCAAATTGAAACATTAGATTGTAAATAAATATTACCTCTTTATAATGTGATAGACTAAAATACCTGGCTGCAATTTCTCCATTAGTTATCTAATATTCAAAATAATCAAACAAATGCAATGTGCTTGTATTTATATTGAACAAAAGCAAAGTATTTTGTCTTACAGGCATTTATTCTACTCTCTTTCTGCAATAATAGCCCATTTACAAAAGGTTTTTAAAAGAATCCAGTAAAATTTTTAATTTGGAGTCCACTAACCTTCAGTAGCTAAATTCGCATCCTGAGATAGTGATTCCTCAGTTATGTCATCCAGTGGTCGACTGATTTCACTTTTTGGATTATTAAAATTCATTGTAATGGTTTTCTCATCCTTTGCCGATTCTGAGGTCGAAACAGATCCCGTTTCATCGCAAACCATGCTAACTTCAGGAAATTTCTTATTCTCTGAAACTACCATATTCTCCGACTTATCACCACGACAAGATTTTTGAATTTCTTCAACATCCTCTTTTGCCCATAAACCTTTACCGCAAGCTAATCGAAGTGCGATGAGGTCATCTTTGATAAGCATTTCACTTTTTCGAAAATTTAACACTTTCTTCATGCACCCAGAATTCCAAAAAAAGTACTGAGTTACTCGGGGATTTGAATTTGTTGCATTTTTGGAATCTTGTGGTGACAACATGACACTAATTCGATATCGGAAAATCTGCAACCACAAGTCACAGTTATCAGGTTTCCTCTCCGTTGGAACGGTTATCCAATCTCCAGAATGTCTTCTATCTCCTATAAATTTAAACCATTCACAATTTTTACAGAGTTGACTATCTCTGGATGAATTGAAGCAAGAAAAGAAGCTCCTCCTGTCTTTGATGGATTCTGGTTGGGATACTTTAGTTTTCCGTAGACCGGGAAATTTAAGTTCGACTAGAAGCATTTCACCATTCTGAATTATTGCTGCATTTACCTCGGCAGGAGATTCAAATAATATAGAATCTTTCGACATCGTCTTCTACAATAATAAACATGCCAAAATCCTCAACGTAACTTAATCGCTTGTAGTAAATTTAATTTAAAGAACATTATGCTTAGCAAATTTTAATTTCCCAAATTTCACATGAGACATATGGATTTAACTTAAATCAACTTTGAAAACTTTCAACGTAAGTTCTTTTCTAATTATATCTCCAAGTCGTACATTCTGATCATATTTTGAAGATTTATAATTTAAAGCGCAATAATTTAAAACGCATATATCAATTTAAAAATAATAACTTTTAAAGATTTAATAATATTTCGTTGTTTATTTTAAATTTTAGTAACCGATCGAAATGCATGCAATTAAATCTAATACCTGAGTGCAAGTAATTGGGTCAAATATTTAATCACAAGCTATGAGGAATAAAAATAATCCTCTGTCAATTTATGTGTCAATCTATAAGCAGGCGCTTGAAATTTGCGAAAGTCGCAGTTCTGCAAACTCAAACTGTCCGCAAACTTAAGAATAGGCTAGGCGTTTTGATTAGCTCTCTTGATTAATACATTTGAAGTCATTAAAATGTGAAAACCACACCATATAGTGAAAATATAACCCTTGTTAAAAATAATTTTAATTTTAATATGGGAACGACTTTATATTTATGAACAGGAAATAAAATTTTATGAAGAAGAGCAAAAATGTTTCGAAATATAAGTTAATGCTGTATTATTCCTACTTCCTAATAAGTATATAGTCTCTAGCTTTAGCCCTATATTGTATTTATACATTCAATTTTCAAAGCTATACCCAACTAGTTTACTAAGATAGAATTTTTGTTAAAAGTAAGAACGTCTGATGTCATTCAAACCATTGATCCAGTAATGTAAGCATTAAACGATCAAGTGAAGCTCAATGCCACTACACAACTAGTTGTTCTGCTTTTTGAAAATAATTTGGCGTTACATTTTTCTTCAGCATGATTTTGTTCATTTGCCTTCCATTCAGAAATGGATCTAAAATGCTATCATTAATAACAGATTAATGGCATTAACTACTGTTTCTAGGTGTTAATAATAATAATTCATATTTTTACTTATTCTAGCAATGTAATATGCCATTTTCATGCTTTATAAGTATATATTTTATAACAACCTGAATTTTAAGTGCTTATTAAGAAATGACAAGGGTGAAATTTTGAGCCCTTGAAATGTCTCTTCTTATCATATAATGAACTGCGAACTTGCAGAATGTTAATGCACTAAGCCTCAAATCTTGTATACTGCTTTAAATCACAATTCCAAAGGCAAATGTAATAAATATTTATTTATATCAAACGGCAGGCGTCTTGATGGTTGTCATTAGCACTTTAGTTGACTTCAGGCTTCACAGAGGGGAGGTTCACCAAAGTAGAATAAAGGCGATGGGTGGGGAACAGAAAGAACATCAATTTAGCTGACTTCGGGCTTCACAGAGGGAAGGTTCATCAGTTGAAAAAAAGTCGAGAGGGGGAAGAGAGGAGTGTTTCAAATTGTAAAAAATGTCGAGAGGGGAGGAACAGAAGAGTGTTTCAAAGATATAAGAAACAAACACAACGGTAGAAAAAGATGAGGTGAGTACTGTGAAAATAGAGTGGCATAGAATGAGGTGATGGTAGTTTGAGGTGAGAAGTCAACTGCCAGTTAATAGACTTTTTGCCGTATGAATATACGTTGCCCAGGGTGCACCACGTGGAGGTAAGTCTATCGCACGCCCCATGTAATAAATCTAAGAAGACCCAAATAAAATCTGTTCGCGAATTAGATTAATTAAATTAGTAAATAACGAAATGTGGTTAAAACTGTATAATATATTAATTCAAGTAATGTGTTAAACGCCTCATTCGGGGTAATCAAAATAATGACCAAAAAGGACTGAAGTAATATCGTATTAAAAGTGATTGAAGATTGTTATCTATGTAATTCCATATTTTTTAGCCATTTCTTCAAAAACTACAAA